TATTTTTCCATCTTCTAAGATCTTCTTCTATTTCTCTCTTTAGGGTTCTGTAGTTTTCATTGTATAAGTCTTTCACCTCTTTTGTTAGGTTGATTCCCAAGTATTTTATTTTTTTTGAAGATATTGTGAATGGAGTGGTTGTCCTCATTTCCATTTCAGAGGATTTGTCGCTGATATACAGGAATGCCTTTGATTTATGCGTGTTGATTTTATATCCTGCCACTTTGCTGAATTCATTTATTAGCTCTAATAGTTTCTTTGTAGACCCTTTTGGGTCTGCTAGGTATAGAATCATGTCATCTGCAAATAGTGATAATTTAAGTTCTTCTTTTCCTATTTTGATGCCTTTAATTTCTTTCGTCTGTCTAATTGCTCTGGCCAGTGTTTCGAGAACTATGTTGAACAGAAGTGGTGAGAGAGGGCATCCCTGTCTTGTTCCAGATTTTAGAGGGAATGCCTTCAATTTTTCTCCATTCAGAATGATGCTAGCCTGAGGCTTAGCATAGATTGCTTTTACAATATTGAGGTATGTTCCTGTTATCCCTAGTTTTTCTAGAGTTTTGAACATAAAGGGATGCTGTACTTTGTCGAATGCTTTTTCCGCATCTATCGAGATGATCATATGGTTCTTATTTTTAAGTCTATTGATGTGGTGAATAACATTTATTGATTTCCGTATATTGAACCAGCCTTGCATCCCAGGGATGAATCCTACTTGATCATGGTGCACAATTTTTTTGATATGTTTTTGTATCCGATTCGCCAGAATTTTATTGAGGATTTTTGCATCTAGGTTCATTAGAGATATTGGTCTGTAGTTTTCTTTCTTTGAAGTGTCTTTGTCTGGTTTAGGTATCAGGGTGATGTTGGCCTCGTAGAATGAATTTGGAAGTTCTCCCTCTTTTTCTATTTCCTGAAGTAGCTTGAAAAGTATTGGTATTAGTTCCTCTTTAAAGGTTTTGTAAAACTCTGCTGTATACCCATCCGGTCCTGGGCTTTTCTTAGTTGGTAGTCTTTTGATGGTTTCTTCTATTTCCTCAATTGATATTGGTCTGTTTAGGTTGTCTATATCCTCCTGACTCAATCTGGGCAGATCATATGACTTAAGAAATTTATCTATGCCTTCACTATCTTCTAATTTATTGGAGTATAAGGATTCAAAATAATTTTTGATTATCTTCTGTATTTCTGAAGTGTCTGTTGTGATATTGCCTCTTTCATCCCGTATGTTAGTGATTTGAGTTCTCTCTCTTCTTCTCTTCGCTAGCATGGCTAAGGGTCTGTCGATTTTGTTTATTTTTTCAAAGAACCAACTTTTAGTTTTGTCAATTTTTTCAATTGTTTCTTTTGTTTCGATTTCATTAATTTCAGCTCTGATTTTAATTATTTCTTGCCTTCTACTTCTTTTGCTGTTGTTTTGCTCTTCTTTTTCAAGGATTTTGAGATGAAGTATGAGATCATTTATTTGTTGGTTTTTTCTTTTTTTAAGGAATGAACTCCAAGCAATGAATTTTCCTCTTAGAACTGCTTTCAATGTGTCCCACAGATTCCGATATGTTGTGTCTGTGTTTTCATTAATCTCTAAGAATTTTTTAATTTCCTCCTTGATGTCTTCTATAACCCATTGATCATTCAGTAACCTATTGTTCATTCTCCAAGTGATATATTCTTTTTCCTTCCTTCTTTTATCGTTGATTTTCAGTTCCATTCCATTATGATCAGATAGGATGCATGGTATTATCTCTACTCCTTTGTATTGTCTAAGAGTTTCCCTGTGACATAATATATGATCTATTTTTGAGAAGGATCCATGTGCTGCTGAGAAAAAAGTGTAACTGCTTGATGTTGGGTGGTATATTCTATATATGTCAATTAAGTCTAGGTTATTAATTGTGTTATTGAGTTCTATAGTTTCCTTATTCAACTTTTGTTTGGAAGATCTGTCCAGTGGCGAGAGAGGTGTGTTGAAGTCTCCCATGATTATTGTATGGTGGTCTATTAGACTCTTGAACTTGAGAAGAGTTTGTTTGATGAACATAGCTGCACCATTGTTTGGGGCATATATATTTATGATTGTTATGTCTTGTTGGTGTATGGTTCCCTTGAGCAGTATGTAGTGTCCCTCTTTATCCCTTTTGATTAACTTTGGCTTGAAATCTATTTTATTTGATATGAGTATGGACACTCCTGCTTGTTTCTGAAGTCCATATGAGTGATATGATTTTTTCCCAACCTTTCACCTTCAGCCTATGTATGTCTTTTCCTATCAAATGCGTCTCCTGTAGGCAGCATATTGTTGGGTCTTGTTTTGTGATCCATTCTACTAGCCTGTGTCTCTTAATTGGTGAGTTTAAGCCATTAACATTTGGGTTATTATTGAGATATGGGTTGTTCTTCCAGCCATATTTGTTTATTTATGTTACTAAACATGGTTTGTTTTCCTCTTTGATTATTTTTCCCCCCTTTACTGTCCTACCTCCCACTGTTGGTTTTCATTGTTATTTTCCATTTCCTCTTCCTGTAATGTTTTGCCGAGGATGTTTTGAAGAGGTGGTTTTCTAGCTGCAAATTCTTTTAACTTTTGTTTATCGTGGAAGGTTTTAATTTCATCTTCCATCCTGAAGCTTAATTTCGCTGGATACACAATTCTTGGTTGGAACCCATTTTCTTTCAGTGTTTGAAATATGTTATTCCAGGATCTTCTAGCTTTCAGAGTCTGTGTTGAAAGATCAAGGAGGTCCTTTTGATAATATAAGGAAATAACATTTGATAGCATGAAAAATATTTTTTCTTATAAAATATAAGAAAACCATCAATTTTTACATTCACCTTTGATGAAATTATTCATTCAAATCGTTTTTTAGTTGATTCTGGTATATTTTTAGGTAGACAACAATTTCATCCACAAAAAGTGACAATTTTCTCTCTTCCCAAATTCTCAGACCTCCAATTTCTGTTTTTATCTTTGAATTAGCAAGCATTTCCAGGGCATCCATAAAAAATATCTAGCAATAATGGCCTTGTAGGTTGGTTCCTGATTTTATTACTGTTTGTCTTTACACAAATACAACAGTTTGTGGTTTGAGACAGATATTCTTCCCCATTTCAAGTTATGGTTTTGTGCTGCTCTGAATGGCACCACTGTTCTGTTTTCTAGGGCTTAAGTTTGTGGTGTGTTTTGGGTTCATATCCCTTTCCCACCTATGTCCTGCTAAGTGTCACATTCCACTGCTTTTTCTTTGGCCTGTCCTCTCATTCCCACTTTGAACCTCCATCCAAGCCTACATTGTTGCCCACTTCAGTCCATCTTGACTTAGACCGTTGTAGGTAGGGTGCAGTCAGATGAATACTTTAAAAGCTCATCATGTCTGGTCACCTCATTGAAAGGCCAGCATGGCTCCCCACTGCCCTCAGAAGGAGGTTCCAGGTGCTCATTATGGCATTTGAAGTTCCCAATGAGATGCCCCTGCCCTCCCTGTTTGTGTTCCCCATCTCTGGCTCCCCAGCACTCTGCTTCTCCTCAGAGCCTTTCTGCAGCCCCCAGGAGAGCACTGTGCTTCCTCTGTCCTCACACAGTACATTGCCTGCAGCTCTGCTAGATAACTCTTTCCTTACTGTTAGTTGTGTTAGCTTCACATCACTGTAACAAAATCCTGGAGATAATCAATGTAGAAAGAGTAAAGCTCCATTTTGGCTTTTCCAGTCCATGATCAGTTGGACCCATCATTGCTTTGGATCTGTGGTGAGGCAGCACATCGTGGTGGCAACTCATGGCTGAGCAAAACTGCTTATGGCATGAGCCAGGGAGCAAAGAAGGACAGAAAGGAGTTAGGGTTCCACAATCCTCTTTTCAGAGCATCCCCAATGAGCTAAGGGACTCCCTCAAGTCCCCACCTTTCAAAGGCTCCACCATTTCCCAAAAGAACCACACTGAGAAACATGCCTTTAACACATGGGCCTTAGGGGCGTCTTTAATACCCAAACCACAGCAAGCTGCATCCCTTATCTATACTGCTTCTCCTTCTCTTGCTAGGTAGAGAAATCATTGAAGATAATAACTCATTTCTATCTTCCCCATAATGCCCCCACTGTATGGGATTTTATATAGAAAGCCCTATTAAAATCCCATCAAAGATGCAGAAACTAACTCCACATCCAGGCGGAAGGTAAACCAGTAAAGAGCTCACATGGAACTAACATTTTGGACATTTCAGCAGAATGAGTGGTTTCTGGCTGCCACTAAGCTGACACAAATTCTCAGCACTAACACAAATTCCAGAAGGGCACAGGGCATGTTGAAAACTCCCAAATGGATATCAGCTGTGATGATGTTGGCCTGCAGAGTACTTCATGCATCAAGTTTGATGCAGCATTATTTATAATAAATAATTGACCCAGGTCCTATCCTTTGAAACAGAGGAGGGGAGCAGAGGCAGGGAGTGGGAAAGACAGGGAGACTGAGCTTGGTATTCAAAGAAATGAGAAGTAGTTTGAGTTGACTGTGTGTGTGTGCATGTGTGTGTGTGTTGGTCTCCACATTCCAAGATGGCATGTCCAAAGAAGAGTAAAATCATGCTTTCTCATATAATCAGATAGAACACGGTTTTTAAAAACTGCTTTTGAAGCTCAGCACAGTAGTGCACTCCTATAATCCCAGCTCCTCCGGAGGTTGAGGTTAGAGGATTGCAAGTTCAAGGGTAGCCTGGGTAATTTTGTTAGACCCTTTCTCAAAATAAATAAATAAAATTAAAAGGGCTGAGGATGTAACTCAGTGGTGTAATGTCCTGGATTCCATTGCCAGTATAAAACAAACACACACACACACACACACAAAAAAAAAACAAAACAAAACAAAAAAAAAACCAAATTCCAGACAAACAAAAAACAAATTTCTAAACAAATAACAATAATAAAACTACTTTGGAACATTCTTGCCATCCAGCCTGCTGAATGCTTTTTCAGGAGCAATGACTTTGTTTCATGTCTGCTGTCATTTCCAGTTATATTTATCCAGTGACCACAGGACCCTTCTGAAGTCATCTAAGAAATCTTGGCTCCAGGAGGTATACCTGACAGATGAGGTCTCCCACCTGAACTGCTGGCAGGCTTCTTTCCTCGATCCGCAGCTGCGCCTGGAGTTTGAAGGCTTCCCCATCCAGGTGAGTGCATGGTAGGGAGGGCACAGATTTCCAGGCTGCGAGGCTACGGCATGAGTGCAACAATGCCGCCACTTGCTCCTGTCTGTAGAACAGAGATTTTCCCCTAGCTTAAATAACTTGCTCTCTCTTTTTCTTTGATTTTAGTTCAAAGTTAGAGGGCACTAGTGTTTTTCTGTGGCAGCATCCTGCATTAGTGTTTCTCAACCCTGACTGCAGGATAGCATCTCTAAAGAACTTTTTACAAAACAGTAAAGATTAGCCAGGCAGAGTGATGTACACCAGTCATCCCTGTGACTTAGGAGGCTAAGCCTGGAGGATCACAAGTTCAAGGCCAGTCTCAGCAACTTAGTGAAAACCTGACTCAAAATAAAACATAAAAAGGACTGGGGCTGGAGCTTAGTGGTAAAGCAATCCCAGTGCCAAAAACAAAACCAACCAACCAGCCAACAAAAAACAAAAACGCTGAATCCAAGGCCCTGTTCTTAAGATAGATTGAGAAGTCCAGAGTGAGATCACAAGAATTATGACCCTGCTTCCTTTACAATATTTGGTTGCATTCTCATTGCTAAAGAGACTGGGAAGTCTCAGGGAATTAAAGGAGAGAGCAGGGCAACCACATTGGCAACACAGTAGTCCTGCAAAGAACATCATTCTTCTTGACAGTGGGGGACATTTTATTAGACTTGGACCTTGTGGGACTGGAGCCTGAGATAAGGTGCTGTTGGGCAGCAGGTGTTAGTGGCACAGACCTCACTTTTGGCTTTGCTACTCATAGGCTTGTTAGAGTCACTGGGAGAGTATGGCCTTAGCAGAAAGAATTTACAGATTGGCCATCCATGGCTGCTGCTCCCTGTCCAGGAAGTGGCCACAGGTAGACGTTACTTGGAATCTACTCCACACAGAGTGCCTGTCTCTCTGGAGCTTTGCTGTGTGGACCCAGCTTCACAAGTGTCCTCCTCCCAGTGAAGCAGGCTTGACAAATTTCTCGTCCTTAGTCATTCTTTGCCAAGTTTTGCTTTCCTAGGAATTGTGCTTCATGTCAACCATTTAAGCAGTCAGTGCCTCAGTTCCTTATCTGTACATAGGGACATTAATAATAGTCACCTTAGGAGGTTTTGTGAAGACTTCTAAAAGATCCATTTGCATGAAAAGTGCCTGGCTTACAGAATGCACTGGCAAGTATTCATTGTTGCCTTGATGGTTGTTATGTTCTAGAAGGAGCAGTGGCCCAGCACAGGAGCTCTTTGCACCACAGATAACTCACCTTATGGCCTGAGGCAGGTGTCTTAACCTCACTTAGTCATGGTTACACATCTGCAAAACAGGAACCCCAGACCTCTCCAGGCTACCTTGCACAGGCCACCACCCTCTGGCCAGAGGCCGTCAGGAGCACCTGTAGTTGAGCAAATTGGGTATATTGCTTGTTGGGATGAGGGAGAATGCACACCTTGGGGAAAGTGGGGCGCCTCAGTAAGGAGGTGTTGGGAAAGATGCTTATAGAATGGGGCTTCGGTTGGGTATTTTGGGGAGAGTTCCACGAAGTGAGACTTTGCACTGGATTGGAGGCTGTCAGGAAGCAAAGGGACCCCATGATTGGCCCATCAGCATCTCTAACCTCTAGAAGTGCAGACAAAGGCAAAATTAAAACTGACATTGATAAAGAGACAGTGGTCATTCATGGTAGCAGGAGGGCGGGATGTTTGGGATTTTGTGATCCGGACAATCCTCTTGTTTTGCCTGTCTTCAGTCATGACTACAGAATGGTTTTGATCTTGTATTGACCCAGCATGGTCACAGAGTAGCCTTGTCTAATGTGGACATTCCTTAAAATCAGTCTGGTATCTAGGAGAACACTAACCACAGCTGAGAGGAGGGTCAGCTTCTGGATTCCAGGGGCTGCTTTTCTCTTTCTGACACATTTAGCTTACATGAGTTAGGCTTTTAAAGTAATATTTATTTTTTTCTCATTATAAAGACAATATATGTTCACTTATGAAGTCAGAAAAGCACACAAAGATATGCAAATTACTAGTAATAGTTCCACTTTCCACAGATGATTACTGTTGTTTACTATTTATTTTTCTGTACATAGGTATAGGTAAATTTTTTTTTACAAGATAGAACATCATGAATATTTTTTTACACTTAATAACACCATTGGCCATATCTCAGGTTGTCAAAGATCCATATTATGATTTTGAACAATTATTCTGCCATATGGATATCTACCATAATGTATTTAATCAAATGCTTGACTTCTAAGTTATTCCATACATATTTATTATATACATATACTAAATTGAAATATGAATAATCTATATTTTTGCATATAGAAAAATGGAGACCTTAATTCAGGATGCTAATAGCACAATTTTTTTTTTATTTTTTTATCTAAAGGCAAATGAAAAAATTGTCATCTATCACCATTACACGAATCGGGCACTGGCAGTCCACCGCAATCTTTTCTTAAGGTATTGTATTGCAGGGTACAGCAAATGCCACATAAGGGGCTCGTGAATACAAATAAAGACACACAAAACAAGTCCTTTGATGATGAAATGTTGCCATACAGAACTCTGATGGTGTGAAAATCTCATTGGAGCCCCTTTTATTTAAATCCTTTCCTGCCGGATTTTAGCTATAACAGACATGACCTGCCTAATCCTCACCTAAACAGGGTGAAATCTTCCTGCAAACAGGCCACATCTTAGATATCCCAAGGACTTTGTGTGTAGTAGTCTGCTTTATTTGGTGCTTTGAGATGAAATGAAATCCTATTGAAAGTAGTTACTTGATTTCCAACCAGAATTAATCTTTTCTTGCTTTAGGACCTATTTTGGAAAAGAAGTTGAAGTTGCAGCTCACACACATCTGGATTCACACAAAGTTGAAAAACCAAAGAACCATTGGATTTTGGTCACTGGGAATCCCAGGAATGACTTTTCCACCATGCTGGACCTGCCCAAACCACCAGCAAAGGACACCCAAGCCATGGAGCAGGCCATGGGCCTTGATACCCAGTGACATATCAGGCATACACCTGCTCTCTTGGACCCTGTGCTTATCCAGTGTAGCTTTAAGGCAATCTTTGTCATGCCTCAAACTGATTTTAGAAACAGAACTCTCTGAATACTATATTAAAATAAAGACTATGTTAGGATTATTGAATTAGTGGTAAGGGTCTAGGACATTTAAAAACTAGCTCTGAAAAATGAGTGGCATTTGGATATGACAAGTGCTAGTCCTTTGTTGATAACCAAATTCTGAAAAACCCAGCATCCCTGACTTAGATCATCCCTAGTAGCATCTCCTACAAGGACTGTGTGTTAGTCTTTATAACTTGCTATTTAATAAAGCTATCAGAACACCACTGGATTTTTGGTAATATTGTGCCCCTCTTGACCCTGAATGATGTACATCAATACGTAGCTGTGAGCCATAGCCTTATCTTGGAATTTAGAATTCTCCCTCTTATAAAACATTAATATTTTTGCTTTGACCTCTGGCTTAGAAGGTCAAGTCCTCTACCTGACCAGTTATCTATTATTTTATAGTGATCTTCAAACCGAAGAGTACTCTTATCTCTATCTTATCTTCAAAACTAGCACATTAATGGAGGCACCCATATGATTTGAAAAATATATATGACAAAATATATATATATATATATATCCTTCCATTTATTTGTTCAATTTTTCAAACTTCATTCAGTGCCTATGATGTGTAAGGTATTATAAAATGTTGCCCAGCCTTGTAGGTACAGGTAAACTGCAAGACTGGTCACAAATAAATATGCTGTAAGGCACAAAGTAGGCCCCAGTGGTGTTTTAAATAGATGCAGTGTTGGCTGTGCAGATTGGCCTTCTGCAGGGAGCTGGCTTTGCCATCAAGCATGTGGGATTTAGGGCAAGATTCCACCCTGGCTGTGAGCTGGATTTACCTTGGAAACTTCATTAGTTCCTCATGTGGGGCCTCAGCCAGAAATTTCAATTTAATGGTCTGGGTGCAGCCTGGACATTGGGCTTTGTCAGTGTTCTTCAGATGGCTCCCATGTGCAGTCAAGGGGAGTCCTGCTGTGTCAGGAGGTGGAGGATGAAGTAGCAGTTCCTAGAGGTGATCAGAGAGGGCTTTTGTCAGTGGGTCTCAGCCTGGCTGAACATTTAGGACCACCTGGAGAATTTGAAAACATCCACTGCCCAGGCTATCCTTTGCACCTTTCAATCAGGTAAGGCTTTAAAAAAATTCAGATGCTTGGATTCATCTCTAGAGATCCTTAGTTCTTTGGAGTAGAGTCCAGGTATCAGTATTTTAAAAAACCCACTAATTAATTTTAATTTGTTTTTGTACTGGGGATTATAAAACAGGGATGCTTTACCACTGAGCTACATCCCCCAGGTCTTGCTAAGTTCCTTGGGGCCTCACTAAACTGCTGGGGCTGGCCTCAAACTTGTGATCCTCCTATCTCAGCCTCTGAAGTTTCTGGGGTTACAGGCATGTGCATCTCAGCTGGCCCCACTCACTAATTAATTTTAATGTGCAGCCTGGGCTGAGAATCACTGGCTTAGCTGAGAGCAAGATTTGATTGCCCTTGTGTCTCCAAAAAGCAACAGGTAGGTAGATCTGGGTTACCTGTCCATCTAGAGAAAGACATTCTCTAATCATCTTCAAGCATCAAAACCTGATCATTCCTATGATAAAGTCATTCTTGAATCCATCATAGGAGGAAAGTTCTCATACAACATTGGGATTCCAGGCTTTCCTTGAACCATCCTTCAGTGGTTTCTTGACTTAACCACCCAGGTTCAGCCCCACCTGGCAGGAATCTGGACCACTGATCAAGTTTTCAGACCCACAGTCAATGACAGCTATGGCATGACTGCTTCCTAGCTGACTGTCATTACAAACGGCATCATTTTAATATACACGTTGCATCTAGAGAGGCTCAAACATGATAAAACCTTGGGTGTCTCAAAGAGGGAAGATAGCAACTAGAAAGTGAGGACTTCTGAAGGGAGCCCACATCCTACATGCGCCAACTGTGCCATCTACACATCAATCTGCTGCCCTGGTCCCTTGAGCATCTTACACAATTATGAAGGGCTTTTGACACTTGGTTTATTTAGTTCCCACAGTCCCTTGGGTCTTGATCACTACTCATCTCCACTTCCTGGGAAGTGTCTGTTAAGGGAATGAATGAGTTAATAAATGATGAATCCATTTATAGAGGAGGCACCAAGCATGGAGGAGTGAAATACCCTGCTCAAGGCCACAGAGCCCAGAAGCAGCAGAACTCTGGCAGAACTAAGCATGCTTGCTCTCCTTCTAGACCAAAGTTTCCTAATATCAGCACTCTTATTTACTTTATCTTATTATTTTATATTTATTTTCCCCAAATAATTTTTTTTTCTTGTGGACTGTCCTCTGCATTATATGATGTTTGGCAACATGCCTAGATTCTGCAGTAGTTGCACTCCTGTAGTTATGAGAAACGAAAACATCTCTAGACATTGCTAAATGTCCCCTGAGGGAAAATGTCCCCTAGGGGAAAATCTGTCATTCAAGGGTCACCATCCTAGACATTCTTCTCGATGTTTATTTGCCATTTTCAGAGGATGGCATAAAAGGTTCATTCCCTCTCCTCTTTTCTTTCTTCTTCCCTTCTCTTCCCTTCCCTTCTCTTCCCTTCCCTTCCCTCCTCTCCCTTTCCCTCCCCTCCCCCTCCCCTCCCCCTTCCCCTCCCCCTCCCCTCCCCCCTCCCCTCCCTGCTTTCCTGTAGAGATCAGAATATGTGGTCTATGAGATGCGTTCTAGGGATCTTCATAATCTGCTTTGAACATCTGAGCTGGGCTTTAATGCAAACCTAGAATTCTGGCAGATGCAAACTGGCCCTCCAGGAGCAAATGCTATGCAGAGACCTGAATGCACATGTGCCTCAGCAGTGGCCTCCAGTGTGGACCACACAAGTTGGCCCTTGAGATGTGAAAAGAAGACTTCAGGCTTCTATATATATCATTATTATATCCTTCAAAATGCATTCACGTGTGTGCTTTACACTGTTCAAAAAGTTTTTAATGTGCATAATATTTTGGCTTAGTAGGCATGAATAAAACTGATAAATAGAAGAAGTATACTTAAGTGTGTTTCATAGCAAATGTTCAAAATTTGTGGGGAAAGGTGCATAATCACAAAGTGTGGAAACCATCCTACATGCTGTGAGTGCTCACATGTTATACAGCACCAAGTCACTGTTGCTATGACGATGCACACAAAGCTCTGCCTTGAGTTGTGGATACAGTCCCCTCCAAGATCTATGGTTGACTTTAATTCAATTGAACAAATGCTTATTGGTCATTTACTGAGGGCCAGTGTTCTACTTAGGGTGGCCAAGGCAGAGAAGAATGAGGTAAAGAGCCTCTGAATGGGGGAGACAGGGAAAAAGAGGCCTCAGTGTGAGTGTGCTCAGGCTGCTCTAAGATTCCAGTGGAAGCACAAGGAGGTTACTCATACCTGGAGGCCAGGAAGGCTGCCCTCAGATGACACTCGAGCTAGAAAGGACACTGGAAAGCACTTTCCAGGCAGTGAGGCCACATTTCATTTGCAGAGGCCACCTCTATATCCCTGAAGTGTGACATCTGGAATAGCAGGGAGAGGTGGAAACTAGGAATAAGCCAGTTTAGAATAGACTGTGTACAGGTAATACCCAGTGTGGCCCTGTACGGGTTCTTAAAATACTGCAATACCTCAATCCTTATTGTAAGTAGCTACTGAACCTAACCCCTGAGATGCCCCTGGGAGTCTGGTACCCTCTTGGACTTCCCTATAACACAACTGGGGAGTTAATGTCTGGCCAACAGGGGGCCTTCAGGTCCCTGCCTAACACTGTTACTAAAGTTCTTTTTGTTTGATTGGTGTCCAGTGATTTTCAGAAAGTCATACAGGTTGTTAAATATTTTTAACATTGCTCTTGGCTGCATGTGTCTGGTTATTGAATTTGAATTTTATCTCAAAATGATAGCCAACCTTTGAAAGATTTCAAGGAGGAGAGTGGCATGTTTTTTTTTTTTTTTTAATTTTGATACTAGGGATTGAACCTACCACTGAGCTACATCCCCAACCCTTTTGATTTTTTATCTTGAAACAGGGTCTCACCAAGTTGCTGATACCGATCTTGAACTTGCCTTAGCATCCTGGGATTACAAGAGTGTACCACCACATCCAGCCGAATGGCATGATTTTGAGCTAGAAAGATTATTATGGAGTCATCAGGGAGAATTAGGTGATGAGATTTTGAGTGCAGGCTGTGTCAGAATACAGAGAAGTCATGGGGATTAGGGGGAGAGACAGGACTCAATAACTTGGTGGATGCAAGGTCAGGGGAGGAGGAGAAGGTGGACATTCTTCCCTAAGATTCAAGCATCAGAGGAAGGTAGGTGTAGGACAGCCAAAATGGTTGCCTAGAGACCCTGAGTAGAGGCTATTTTCTGTGGCTGTAGCTGCAATCCAGCTACAGTGCTGTCATCTGCTGGGCTGTTTGTCCCCATCCAAAACCCAACTAAGCCCTTCATAGTTGGTAGCAAATCCAATCTCAGGATGAGTACCTTAACTTTCTGCCAGTAGGTACATGGAGAAATCTAGCAAGAACAGGGAATTGGTGGCCTACCTCCTTGCTCTGAGAACTTCACCTTGGAAGGCTACAAGGAGAATTGCCTGTGTCAGTAGGGGGACCAGGTGCTCTGGGTGTGCAAGGGCTGCCCCTGCTTCCTTCTGCCTTCCTAAGCAAGTTCAGAAAGTGAGTTCATCTCTATCAACACACTTAGCTCCCCACTGCCTGGGGTTGGACTCCTCTTCTTTCCTTTATACAACAGACCTTTTTATATTCAATGAAATCCAGTAGACATCATAGACAGTTTTACACCAGGCATTGAGCTAGACACTGGGATCCCAAGGGAAATGAATGTGTTCCCACCTTTATGGCCTCTAGTGGGGAAATGATGTTTGGGAAGTAAAGAAAGGCTCTTCCTATTGGGGAGAAATGACAATAAATATCAGCATAAGGGAAAGCCATCGACATGGGGAAATGCAGGATGTTCCTTGAAGTAGAAAAGTTTAGTTTGCCTGGAACATGGAGGGAGGGAGGATCAGAAGGAAGTTAAAGACATTGAAAAGGTGGGGGCAAGGGTGTGGAAAAGGCGAAGGGGCAAGGCTGTGGCATTTAAAAGGTAGCCAGCAGAGAGTCACATATTTCTGAGCAGGACAAGGATAGGAAAAGGAAGGAAGGTCAGTCTGGGACAGAGGGGTACAAGGCACATTGAAAGAGGTTGTTTCTGAGTTTGGAATCACAGCTGGTGAAAGACTCCAAAGCCAGGAGATTAGGGAGAGCAGAGCTGGCAATGCAGATTGATGGGTCTGAGCAGAGTCTTTTATTTTTCTACTATCTCTTCACCAAAGGCTAAAATAGTAGAAACAACTTTTTTTTCCATTGGTAAATTCACTCAGTATCTCCCGATATCATCTGGAGCTTTTTTTTTTTTTTTAAAGTTGCTTTATTTTTTGGGAATAACCATTCAAAACCACTTATAAGGTTCTTATTAATTATAAGGTCTTTGCTTAGCATCTGGATGGAAACAGATTAGCCATTGTAAGGAAACAGTTTCACTTTCCTGCCCAAGGGTGTTTCTGAGAAAGGCTGACCACTCCCTCACACCAACACAACCCTTAACCAGCCGCATTAGGACCCACCCAGCTCTGAGTCTTGAGGCTCCTCCATAAAAGTCCCAGAACTCTCCTATAGAGAGATGGCCTTTATTTGTCGCTCTGACAAATAAACTCTCATGTGTATCTCTGCCTGCTCTCGGTCTTTCACTTCTTGCTTACCCATCTCTCATTTCTTGCTTTCCCTTCAATAATAATCCAGTATAAATTTAGTAATGTGGTGAAGAGCCTGATTGGGTTAAAGTGTTCGGTTCCCAAGGGGAAAACATGTTGTAAGGAAGACAATTGATTAGTAGATAAACTCTTACAAGTGAAAACAAAAATAACAAACATCCCTTTAGAGAAATAAGGTAAAGGGCTTGAAGTGGCAATTATAAATAATTCAACTGTCTAAGAAGCATTTCAGAACATATTACAGTCAGCACAATGCAATGCCAATTTTCTGTCCATCTAGTCAGACACCAGCAACAGAGCCATACTATGTCAGAATCTGCAAAGACCAATGCTCATGTGGCTGGTTATTTGCAGATGGGGAAAGGAACCCTGGGAAGGGAAGGGATACACTTGAAGCCTTGGGAAAGACAGAGGCAGGGTCTGGGAAGAATAGTTAGTGAGTGATGGGGAGGATCAACTTCATGATCCCAAGCACCTTGGAGACAGGACCTGGGTTAGGATCTGGAGTGCTTTGAAGCCAGGGAGATCCTAGGTTCTCACCCATTGATTTGGTCTTGCTGTTTCCCAAAGTGGCCACAAGATGTCAATGTTAATAACGTTACAAGTCAACCCTTGAAATTGCTCAACTGTTGAACTGATTTCAAAGTACAGAGGAGTTTCCAGTTTTCAAAATGTACATTTTAAGAGGGGAAAAACCATAAAAACACTGTGGTCAGGGTATCTGTTCATTTTTTTTCTTTATAAAAGAAATGGTGTATGAGTCTCTGTAAAAGCTGGTTTAAACAGCATTCCGGGGGCTTGTGCCAAGGGGAGTCCAGGTTAGAATACAGCTCCTTTGGGATTTTTTATGGACATTCCATCAGGGAGTCTGGAGTTCTCCAGGAAATTGTGCCCTGAACCCTGGGCCCACAGGTCCAGCATGACTTGTGGAGTGGCGACTCCACGGTCCTCTCTGTTGTTTATCAGCCTTGGCTGAATCCTTTGTCCTCAGCAAGCATCAGTTTTCTAAACTGGAAACTATCTTCCTCTCAGAGTCATTTAAATTTAAAAGAACAAATTAAATGAGGCAATGTATTTTAGAGAGGCAGGAGGATACAATGGGTCCAAGCTCTGGTGTAGACTCAGATGACTCAGTGTAGACACGTGTTACTTCCTCACTGTGTAGCCTTGGCAGGTCATGGCACTTTTCTGAACCTCTTTTCATCCATAGATTATCAAAAGGGCTAAAATAAGATGGGCACAGTGGCACATGCCTGTAATCTCAGCGATTTGGGAGTCTGTAGCAGGAGTATTGCAAGTTTGAGGCCAGCCTAGGCAACTTAGTGAGACTTTGTCTCAAAATAAAAAGTAAAAAGAGATGCAGATGGAGCTCAGTGGTAAAGCACCCTGGGTTCATTCCCTAGCACTGGAAAAAATAAAGGACTAAAATATTAACCCTCACCATAGACTTGCTGTGCAGATTAAGTAAGGTTATATGTGTTAAACATTCTGCATCCTCTCCAGCTCTACATCAATACAATTCTCATTACTACATGGGTCTTCATGCTGATCTCTGCTTATTTTCCATGTAACCTTCTAATTCTAAAGGTAAGTAAGGGGAAGCTTGGAGAGGGGGAGTGACTTGCCCAGCATTGCACATGAACTAGCACTTTCTCTATCACGGCAGCATTTTCGTTCTGCATTGTCTATTGTGCCCGACAATAGGCTCCCTGAGGACAGGGAAATTCATTCTGGGTTTGTGTTCCCTGTGGTAGAGGATCGTCATCATCACCACCAGCAGGACTTCACTATGTGCCAGGCTCTTTGCCAAGCACTTTTGGCATGTCTTAACCAACTTAATTCTCACATACAACCTGTGAAATAAGTTCTATCATTTTCTGAATTTTACCGAATAGGAAACAGGCTGAGAGAGGTTAATTACCCAGTGTTGCACAACTTGCAAGGAAGGAGCCAGGAAGTCTAAAACCAGGCCCAGAGGACTTAACCATCAAGTGGTGCTGCCTCTCTGGCAGCAATCCTTCATGATTTTTGTTGGATTGAATTTAGTCAGTAAGATTGGGAATTGAGCAATGTTATAATGTATTATAGGGAGTGACCCTGGACATGCATTCAAATTCTATGTTGACACCTGCTTTAAAGGTGTCATCTGAGACACACACAGGAAGAACCATGCTTCAGGGTGTGACTGAAGGGGAGGGAGTGAAAGAGGCACTGGAGGGAGGTGTAAGGAAATTCTCAGCTCAGGGACACTCTGGGATAGCGGGGAGCAGAAGTGGGTGCTGTGGAGGATTAGGAGCTGGCACCCCTCATCCATGCCATGAATGCATGGTGGGTCATTTGTGACAACATGGATAAACCATTATGTTTATTATGTTAAGTGAAATATGTTAAGTGAAATAAACCAGGCACAGAAAGACAAATAGGGCATAATCTCACCTATTTGTGGAATCAGAAAAAGTTGAATTTGTAGAAGCAGAGAGTAGATAGGTGGGTACCAGAAGCTGGTAGTGGTAGTGGGGAGATGTTTGACAGGTAAAAACTTTCAATTAAAAGATGAACAAGTTCTGTGCTTGCTTCAGCAGCACTTATATTAAGTTGGAAGGATTCAGAGAAGATTAGCTTGGCTTTTGTGCAAAGACAACATTCATGCTTGTGAAGTTTCCATAGTTTTGAAAGACATCTATGATTTGGAAGGTTCACGGTGAAAGGGAAACCAAGATTCCCTTAGTTGTTCAACAGTTATTTGTAAACCATCATTTTCTGCTTCATGGTAGATGCATGATAGGATATCATCCTTTTGTAATCACATCTAATAAACTCTTTATAGCCATTTCCTAAAGGCAAAAACAGGTTAGTGCAATGTAGAATTTTTCATTTTGTTAAAAACACACTCAAAGATACATGAAATTCGTGGCTCAGCAGACTAACTTATCATAAACTCCAAATAATCTTGTTATTGATTTTGCTACCATTCACCTCAGATTCTACCAAAGAAACATAAGTATTGGTGAGTCTTTGTGACTGAGTTGAAAAACATTAATGAGAAATTTTGGAAAATAATGCTGACAATATTTAATCTATCATGCAATTCCTCCAATTATGATGAAAAGACTTGAACTCCCTGAAATTAAAAAAAATACAGTGAAAAATTGATCAAGTTTTGGGGACCTAATGTAAAACCTGGGTAATGATGAATGTGTTAATTAATTTGGTTGGAATAATCATTACATTATGTATATGTCTATGAAATCATCACATCAAAAACATAGAATTTATGCAACTAATGTCAATAAAATCTTTGAAATTTTTAAAAAGAATACACAGACTGCCTTGGCTCACTGGTTTCTGAGTTTCTCAGTTCCCCTTCCAACCTGATAGATGGAACCTGGGGTTAGTCTCACATACCGACTCTGACAATGAGAATAGGTTCTCTGGAGCTCTGTGCTAACCAGTATTTGGAAAACATCTAGTTTCAGTGGAGAATGAATTTGAGGTGCCCCACATGTGTCCAGGAGCAGACCATGGGCCATGTTTTAGCTTGCCTAGCTCCAGTTCTTCCCTTTCTGATAGATCCAGATTCCTATAGCTTGTCCTGGCCTCCCAGGCTACCTGGCGTTGGGGCTGTGGGCTCTGTCTAGGGAGCTGAGTGACACAGGCTGACCCACCCAGAGCTCCACCCCAGATTCTTGGCACTGTACGTACCATGTTCTAGCTCACTACATGCAAACACATGAGCACCCTGCCTCCCTCCCATCCAGAGGGACAGAGGCGGTGCCTCCTGTGGCCATCTCCACTGCCCAGCAATTCTCTTTCTTCCTTGTCCCTGCAACGTCTCTGCACTGTGTTGTTGTTGGATGATGGGAACAAGGTTGAACATCTGCCAAACATCTGCTCATGTCTCCTGAATGTGCTCCCAACCAGACGGGCAGGAAGCAGCTCCACCCTTGAACTGATCTGCCAGGGCCTGGGGCTGCCACTCCAGGACATTGCCTGGTTTGCTTGTGGGGAAGGAGGGGGAAACCCTGAGCTGAGATCTGGTCTTTTACTTTAGAGATGGGAGAGGCCTCTGGGTTCTGCATCCTTCCCTTTCTTTCCCAGAAGGGGCAGTGCTGTGGGTTAGGGGCATCCAACAGAAGAGAGAGACCTGCCAGAGATGACTGGAGAGGTAACAGGAGAAGTTCAAAGTCCCTGAGAGACAAAGAGGGGAGGAAGTGGCCATTACTCCTGGAATGGATGTGGGAAGGAGACAAGGATGAGGGTGAACAGCTTATTTGGGAGGTAATAGGAAACAGGGAAGAAAGCAACCTCAGGAACAGGTGTCTGATCAAATAGGTAACATGGGGGGTGGGGCTGGGACTTCATTCCACTGGGGGAACTGAGTTGTAGGATTTTGAGACAGGGTCTTACTAAATTGCCCAGACTGACCTCCTGAATCGAACGAAGTTGAGATTACAGGTGTGTGTCACAGCATTGGTTGGACAGCCCTGTTTGAAAGTGGCAAATAAAGGTTAACAATGGAGAGTAGTTGGGGGCATAGTCCTATTGGATAGTTCTCTTTCTCTTCCTTCTCCCGTCCTTTACTCTCTCTTCTCCTATTATTGTTCCTTACCCACCTCTTCCCCTCTCTCTTCTGTCATCTTCTCCCGTCTCCCTCTCTCATTTCTTTTACGCTCTCCGTCTCTTTCCTTTCCTCCTCTCTGTGTTCCTTATATAACCCAATCATCCCTTGTTTAAGAGATGAATTCATAAGGTGATTTTAGCCAGGTGTAGTTGCGCACACCTATAAACCCAGCAACTTGGGAGGCTGAGGTGAGAAATTTCCAAGTCTGAGGCCAGCCTGGGCAACTTTGTGAGATCCTGCCTCAAAATAAAAATATAGAAAGAAATAGAAAGTACTGGAGATGCAGTTCAGTTGTAAAGCACCCCTAGATTCAATCCATAGTACCAAAAAAAAAAAAAAGAAAAAAAAAGGGACAACTAATTCTTTCACCTTATCTTCCTACCTCTTGAGGAGGAATCCTTCAGTCCCATTCTTTGGGGTCAGTTCCTCCCTATCCCCTGGATGGACACTGAGCTATTTCCTTTGGCCACTTGATGTTCCTAAACACTTCAAAACCTACTAGTGTAGTTATTAAAATGCTCTTTTTCCACATAATGATTATCTGTTGAACTTGAAGTACAGTTGCGCCTTCCTCCCTCCTTCCATCTGGCTTGATCCTGGCTGGAGACCCCTCCTGGTCTGCTCCCAGTTTTGCCCACTGCAGTTTCTGACCCTCTTGGAGTTGGAGTTTGAGAGAAGAGAGTAGGACATCAGGAAAGTTCTTTCCTGGCGGCACTCATGGGAGACCTGGTTCTGTGTTCTGTGTTCTCTGGTCTTGGCAGATGGCCAAGGTCAGCCTCTATGACTTTCTTGATATGCCCAGGGGAGTTCACTGGGATATCACTTGCTCTAAGCATCTTACCTGGGGTTTGTGTTTCTTGTCCAATCTGTTGCTTATTTCAGCCTCTGGGTGTCCCCTGTACCTTTGTATTCTTTCTGCTGAGGTCTTTCTACTCTTCCCAGGATGCCACCTAAGTGAGACCTTAAATGAGCCTACATTTTTTTCTTTCATGCGTCCACAGAAACTAGCCATGAATTCTTCGAGCCCTCTCAAATTCTGGGAGTGTAGTAGATCCATCACAATACAGCTGCTTCTTCTTCTTTTTTTGCCATCAAAACAGCAGCTCAATATTTCTTTCTCTCCTTAGCCTTTCCAGGTGGGGTCAGCACCTGGATGTCTTCCTCCCTTCTGAGCATGCTAATCAACATCACCAAATGGTCTCTTTGAAGCTCCTTTCATCGAGTTTGGGGTGGAGGGAGAAACATTCTATACTTCTTTCTTGGGGGTGGAGGGAGGACACGCAAGCCATCAATCTTCTCTCAAATACCTCCTGTTGTGCTTGAGTCTTGTAAACCTCTCTAATAGCAGCAGGAGGAGTGATTGGTTACTTTATTTGCAAATGTTTCCAAGAGAGAGCCGTAACACATAGTTCCCCAAACTTATGCCATTACAGAATTCCTTTTGCTTTATTATAGTACCTGGAACATTAGACTCTCAGAGGACTGCTGTATTCCTCTGTCCCTCCAGTTCTTGCCCATCCAGAAGATTGATCCACCAAGGCTCAGCCTGATTTCCCTGTCCTCTAGGAGGCATCTTTTGGCCTCATCAAGTAGAGTTAGGTACTTCCTTCTCAGTGTTCCTTGGTTGACCCATCCACACCTTGGTCCTCAATGGTGCTGAGGTGGCCCTGCTGCCACTTTGTCCCTGTAGTAGGCCTCTTCTAGTCAGCGCCCAACAAACCCTCAGTTAACTTCTGCTTATTGTCTTTGGCAGATTGGAACTTCTCGATTATGTACATAACACACAGGAATGGGAGCAGCTCACGCGTGCTCCCCTCAGGGATATGGGCTCCATCTCCCTCTCTCCTGCGCACCTTGAGTTTGCTTTGTGGGTTTCCCTCCAGGCTGTGCAGTCTGTGTTCTCCCTATCACATGTGGGTTCAGCTTGAATTAGGCAAAAGTATTTCCTGAACTTCATTAAACACCAGGATCCATGTGTTTTTTGTGACCATGTGCCCTGTTTTCCTGTCCTCACCTCTTTTACCTCCTGTTCATTACCCTTTGGGATCAGAAGTGTGAACTTCCATCTCCCTATCTCCTCTGTCATAGCCTCCCATTTAGGGAGGCATCTTAGACTAAGATTTCCCTCATAGGCCAAAGGCATTTTCTTTATATTATGGAATAAATTATGAAATTCATCATCTATGCCTCTATTTTGATAAGCTTGGTATGAAAATCAATTGGAAAATCCCTTTCTGGCAATGAATCTAGTTTTTAGGAAACTTGTGGCTGGAGATTAAAAAAAATGCTATGAATGTATGAGTAGCCAGATGACTTGCTTTACCTTCCTACTTAAGTGGCCTCTATCTGCCAGCTTCTCCCCCTCCCAGAGAGTGTCCAGGCAAAGAATGAAAACCAAAACACAAAGGAGAAAAGCACATTAATATATTTAAAAATAATATACCAACAAATAATAATACACCTATTCTAAGATAAATAAATAGGAGGAGGGAGAACATCCCAGGGAGATGCTTTTGGAATTAGGAAGACTTCACAGAATGAAAGCCATTCCAATAGTGAGAAGAGCCTACCTTGCAATTGTGAAGGTCTATTCAGGAAATGTAGATTTCAAAGGTGAGTCAAATAAATTGTTTAAGGACCATATATTCTAACCCCAAGCAACTGAATTACCTGTTGACTTCAGAATTTTTAGTTCTATTCTGATTAAAAAGTAATAAATGTTCACTGTGGGAAATGGAGGAAAATGAGATAAATATTGATAATTTTCAGTGTATCTCTTTAACATGTATTGTATATACCACCATCAGAAGCTATTACTAGAGACCTAGGCCAGAGGCATGATTATAGATCTCAATAAATCAGGTGTGACTACTGCCCCCATCTCCACTCCAACCCCCAAAATGAAAAAAAGTACTGGTGAAAAGCAGAAAAAAATCTTCAATTAGTATAGCTACACCAGAAAGACAAGGTGACTCACATCCATCTTGTCTTCAGGGGTACTGATATGAACTTCCATATTATATAGACAAGAGGACCAGAAATGTTCACCAT